TCTATCTATCTCTATCTATCTCTATCTATCTCTATCTATCTCTATCTATCTCTATCTATCTCTCTATCTATCTATCTATCTATCGATGGATCGATCGATCGATCTATAGAACTTATAGAACGATCTATCGATCTATCTATCGATCTATCGATCTATCTGTCTATCTATCGCCATCCATCCATCCATCTATCTATCCCACCGAACTTCCCCCCACCGACAAGCAGGCTTCCTTTCGCCCATGGAACTACGCCCCATGGAACTATGCCCCCCAACTGTGCCAGAAGTGCGTGGAAACGCAACCCCGAATGCTGAAAGCAGGACAACTCTTAACACCAAGGGTTGCAAAACACCATGTAAACGCAAGTCACCACAACATCTTGCACCGTGTAAGCGAAACATTTACTTGTCACGCAGAAAGACGATCGCCTGATCAAAAGCAGCGTGGAACTGCAACGCTCAAACGTATGAACTGTTCCTTCCGTCAGAAGTCTTACTTCTTGTGAACCTCCTGGAACCGCTCGGCCCTGTTGGCCTGCCAAGCCCGCAGCCAAGCATTCTTGCCAGCCGTCGACTTGAGCATGTTCTTTTGGATCACGCTCTTTTTGATGTCTTTCCACAAGGTGTGCTTCTTCGAACCTTGAGCCTTCAGGGTCCCACATAGAACTTAGCCACTTTGACAATGTCCTTGCGTCTTTTTTGTCTGTGCTCGGTCAAGTAACGCTCTTCCTTTCACACGCCGTCCAACTCATCAGTCAGGTCCTTCACATCACATTGACCTTCTGCAACTGCCACAGGTGGTTCTGCACTAGTCGCAGACGCTTCTGCGCTTTCAGGATTTTATTTTTCTTGCGAAGCGTCGTCATCAAATCATCCAGGGTGCTTCCGCAGGAGTGACATCTTTTGGGGTCAGCTGGTGCTCCCTTCTTTTGCCAACCTTGATGCCCGGACTGCAATGGTTGCTGTCAAACTTCTCAAACTTCTCATTTTTCCACCACAGTGTGGGCAATTTTTCCCGCCAGCTGTCCGCTTGCGCTTTCAAGACAAAACGCAAGCCAAGCCAACAGCCAAACTAGGCCAAGCCAAATCAACCCGCAACCAGCCAAGAACCCACAATGCCAGGCATCCACATCTGTCAGCAGTTGCCGGCCACCTTCAGGGCCTCAAACCCAGCTTACAGGGACCTAATGAGACCTATCAGCCAAGCCAAGCTAAGAAACACGTAGCGCAAACTAGAATGCGTGTCAAGCATCCGTCTGAGAGGAACATGGAGAACTAACCGGAGCGTTTACACTTCACAGGAGTGCGTGGAACCATGGATCAAGTTAATGAGGAAAGGCAAGTGTGTTTGAAGCTAGAAACTGCAAGAAGAATCATTCCAGCACAAGAAGCACAAGCTAAATGAAGCAACAGCAAATATTAAACCACAATGGCTGATGTCTTCCAACTGCTAAACACCAGCTGAGCGCAAGTTGATGCGAGTTACTCCTCTAGCTCACCCCAAGCTGAACGCAAGATTTTGGATGAGTTGGGCAAGTTCAGGGTCTATCTATTTATCTGTCTTTATCTATCCATCTATCTATCTATCTATTTATCTCTTATTGCTTTTGCAAAATCATTGACAGCTCAATTCCAATGGCACCAAATCCCCTTAAACCATACGATCACCTAGAACGTAGGCATTTTCGCACGCATCACGGTTGATCGGCGCAGCGTCACCTGACTGCAAACTGTCGCACAGTGATCCATACTGTCGCAGTTGAACTTGTCGCTGCGAAGACCTCAATCGATTTCGCAGAGCGTCCGTGACACAGCGCAGTGGCCTGGCACCAACCCGACGCTATTCGTATGGGGTTGCAAACTGCCAAGAGGCAATTGTCCTTCCAGCACCCTTCCTGCAAGGAACTGGGAGTTCCCTAAAAAGCTGATTCAGACTCATATGAAGTGAACTAACATTCTGAACTAATTACGCCAGCATAGCATAGACGCCACATAGCGTTGGAATCATGGCCTTCAAGCTATCGCGGCCCTGTTCACTCGCCTTTCACACACTCTTGAAAACAGCACATGGACCAACAAAAACATGTACGAGATACTAAAAACAAGCGAACGCTGCAGCAGCACCCAAGCCCGCAACCGCACACAGTTCCCAAGCTCCCAAGCGCCCAAGTGCACCGTGCAGGGTCACCAGCACCTAAGCTCCCAAGCGCACACAGCAGCAGCACCCTGCAGCGGCCCCAGCACCCAAGCTCCCCAGCGCACACAGCAACGGCGCCCTGCAGCGGCAACGGCGCCCTGCAGCGGCAACGGCGCCCAAGCTCCCAAGCGCACACAGCAGTGGCACCCTGCAGCGGCGCCAACAGTCAGGCTCGAAGGCGCACACGCAGCTATTCCTTTTCTTGAAGTAAGAACCCCAATAGCTCAGTGAGAAAATGTCGTACAGAACGTTTGAATGAATTTCTTTCGTCCAATGGTCCGGACGGCCCAGCCTTGGCTCCGAAGGGCGTGAGGTCCTAGACCATCGAGTCAGGGAGAAAGAGGGTGAATGCCCAGGATAGTTCGTGACCTCTTTGGAGTTTGGAACTCAGAGAAAGTTTGTCTGTCTGTGACCTTTTACAGGCCAAATTCAGTGACCTTATCCTGGGATCTCAAGTATTTTGAATCTCCTGGAATTTGCCCCTGTGCTGACAGCCGTGCCAAGTGATGCTAGAGAAACACTCCTCAAACACTGCGGCATCGATGTCGTAGCCGTTGACCACAACGTTCCGCCTGGGAACGACTTCCATGAAGCCAGCGAGAGCATGCGAAAGCACAAGCAGAAGTCTGGATAGACATTCGGATTGGGGTGACAATGACATGAACATGACTCCCAATTATATATTATATGATGCTTTATGTGCATGCTCTGCTCACAAAAAAATAAAGAGGTGGAACAAAAATAAGGAATGCCCTGAAGATCCTATAGAATCCTAGGCATGATTGTCTCTCAGTGGTGGAGGGACACAATGACCAGGAGCCCAAGGAGCCTGCCTGACACAAGATGGCCAAGAGAGGACTTTGTCCTGTCCGATTGCGATCACTTCAAATCTGTTTAAGGCAGCATAAAGTTCGGTCATGAAACCTCAGGCTAAACTTGTAGGCTTCCTTAGGACCTCTCCAACGTGGGGACCAGGCGCCCTTCTTGAAAAAGAAGAATGGCACGTGAATCGGCATGTACGGCAAAAAGTAGAGGCGAAAGATGAAAAAGCGCAAGACATTAGACATATATATGTATACCTGGAACCCCAAACAACCAGAAACACATATATTAATATAAATCCAAAACAAACATCACAAAAAAAGGCAACATATTCCTCGATTCCTTGTCTGAAAGGTCCGAAAAAATCTCAAGTCATCAACCTGTCTCGTGCATGCTCCCGCTCCTTCTGCCTGGACCTTGCTAAGAGAATTGCATGTGTCACAAAAAAAGGCTCATGTCCGGCAAAAAGTGCGAAGTCTTGCTCTAAACTCTAAACCCAGCACTTAGGTACAATACACCCAAACCCAGTGCCAGCTGAAAAAAGCAAGTCTGTCACTCAGCCATATTCTGTTCAAGAGCGTTTACTGCATCCCCTTTCCTCAGCTCCGGGCGATTCGCCCTCAAATTCCTCGTCGTCCCAATCATCAAAGTCCAGTGACAAGGGTGAACCCAAGGGCTTCAGGTTCAGAGGCTTGAAGGTGATGTTTTGCCTCGGAGCACGCAGAAGAGTCATCCCAGATGACACCTCATCTGGCCGATTTTTCTTGCCCAATGTCACGGAATCTTTATACCTCCGCTGGGATCATTCGGAATCTTCAAGAAGACAGCAGAACTCCAAGAAAGAAGCTTTACGATATATCTCCAGGTCACAGATTCAAGCTGAGATTCAGTTTTAAGGGCGCAGTGATTCGCGCCTGTGGAAAGCACTGTGATTTCTCAGTCTTTGTTGCGAAAAGCATACATATAGTCGTTAAAGATCACACCGTCCAGCTGCACAAGCCATTCATCTGCTGCAATCTACTGTAAGTCTAGTCTCTAACTGAACCTCGCTGAACCCATAGTCTTTCCCCAGTCTTTCGCCTCGTTGCCGGACGGGGTCATACTTCCAATCCTCTTGAAGTTATTCAAATAATCATCAGAGCTGTAGTCCTAAAGCAAAGCCAACTGAGAGGCAATGTCTCAAAGGCAATGAACCACATGAAGTTCGTGACATGAAGCTATCTTCTTTTGATGAGCTTGCTATACTGCGAGAAATCATGGAAGGATGTTCTCAAGCGGCAACCGAGTCCTTGATGTGGGCAATCTGTGGCGGCTGGTACCTTCAAACCACGAGCATGTCTGACATGTCTTGGGCTATAAAATTGCTAAAACATCTCCACAGGGCTGCTCTTGCTGCAAAGGCACGCAGATTTGGCGGTACCATCTTGCTGGCACTGCTTGATGCTTTCCTTTTGATGCCAACAAAATCAACTGGTCAAAGGCTCAATAGTTCTCAATGCGTTTGTTGTTCCAACTCTTCTTGCCAAAAGAAAATTGAGTCTGCTTGTTGTGTTGCTGTTATCAAAAATGTTGGCCAATAGTTCAGCTGTCCGAGTGTCAATACGGGGGAGCGCCCACCGTTTCATGCGATATGCCTCAAAGTCAGTCCCATCAAGATGGCGGAGCTGAACAAACTGTGCAACAGACTGAGCGTTCTGTTAAGAGCAGCTGATCTTCTACAAACTCCGGGAACTGCCATGCTGCATAGAGAACATCGGAGCAGGTATTGCAGCATTCACCATCAGGCAATGCTCCATAGCAGTCCTTCATTCAATGGTGTCGGAGGTGACTTCACCCAATGGTCGCCCCCGGTGAAAAAAACGGGGCACTATCTTGCACATGCATTCAAAAAGCAACGATAAACTCTGACGAAGTATGATAAAACATGATAAAACAAAACCATGCAAAACTGAGATTCTCCACAGGTGGCATTCCCAGTGCCATTCCGAATGCTTGGGTTTGACCTTGGATCGGACCACGGTACATAGATTCTTTGAGGGGTCAAGCAAGTCAATTCGATGAGACTCTGCGACATCATGGGCCAACGTGGATGGCATGGCGCTGATTTCGCTCTGAAGACCAAACAACTTATTCTCGGAACTGATTAGCCCACTCTAGATGGCGCTGAACTCACTCTACACTGAGCTAAACTTATTCTTCTGATGGCGCTGAACTCACTCTACACTTCCACCATGATGTTTGTCCTTCGCTTCACGTCACCGTCAAAAAGCCTTCCGGTGCCTCCGCCGAGCAACGCTTGGTTTCGACTTGCCACCTTTGGATCCTTGCGGAACCCGACAGATTCACGCGGGCACGGCCGACGGAACGCGCTTCACGCGCTTCACGCGGTTCACGCGAGCGACGGGAGTCCCCTTCCACCGCGGTTTGTGGGATTGAAAGCATGGGGAGGCGGACAACGTGGAAAAACGACGGTCTTTTTGGATCTTTTTGGGAAACTGCGTGAAGCATGGAGAAACTCGGAAAAGGATTTGGAAAAAGCTGTGCAGCTCACATGCCTTGCTTGCCACGAGTCGTTTTTGAGAACTTCGCCCACAGGGGTGCCATCGGCTTTCAGTCTTTGCTTCGACACTCCCGTGCGGATATCCGTCTGGCGGTTTCCCATCGCCTCAATTTCCACTGGCAGGTCGATTTCCGAGGCAAAAACAGCTGAAAAACGAGGCAAAAACGCTCGTTTCTTCGCAGACGGAGAAACATCCTGGTAGTCCAGGCTCAAATCGATGCAAGGGAAATCGTGGATGGTCACATCCAAGAGTACTCGCACCTGCCTGTCAGGCACTGCCAAGAGTTAGTGACTGCGGTTTTGCGTTTCACTGGAAACATTTATCTGTCATACTTCTTGGCAACTACATGCATGAATGTCATGAGAAATTCTGAGAAATCATGAGAAATCCTGGTTCGCTTGCGAGTGCATTTTGCAACGACTCCTCGCAACTTCCATGGATGGTGACATCACGATTCGAACAAACCGTGCCTGAAATTTTCAATCTGGAACATGCGCGGCATGTCCTTGGGAGGTGGTATTCACAGTGATTTGAACTGCCCAAAGACAGCAGCAGATCAATTCACTCCCTGAAATCATCATGGTTACGTGGATGACATGGCCCCGTAAGGTTACACCGTTTTAACCATTGTCCGACTCCGAATAGAATATATATATATATATCCATATATATCCCGGTTGTTTTTCACTCCACTTCCACCATGATGAAGATTGCAGGGAGTGCATGATCGACCAAGACATCAGCGTCCAAGGTGCGATGTGGAAGGCTTGTTTGTTGGCTGGTGTCAAATACGTCCAGCATTCTGAAAGAAGCAACACTGTAATCAGAACCTTAGGCTGGTCGAGAAGAAAATGTCAGCTCACTTGAGAAGAGGGACACGTCGAGGGACACGTGTCCGACTTGACAAGCAAAACGAAGCAGCTTCGAAGCATATCTGCGCCAAATACGCCAAGTGAGGTAAGCATGCAGAAATGAAGAGAAACCATCAAAACATGTTTTCCGCAAGAACAGGAAAGGGACGGAAAGCCTGGGGCCCTAGGGCTAAGCTCCGACTCACTAACATGAAAGTGGCACATCATGCCCTTCAAAAGCCACTAAACCGTTTACAAAGCCATGCAGTTCCGCTTGTTAATCCGCTGGGCCACGAGAAAAATGCCCTGTAGCAGCAAAGAAATGGGTCTCGGTGGTGCCTCCCGCTGCTCACGATGCTCTGGCGCCAGCTTCCTGGGGTGGAAGGGGCTGGAAAAGGATCGCAAAAAAAAACAAAAATAACAATTACTTTACTTCAAAATTCCCCACCCTCAAAGAATTGGTCTTCACAAGAGAAAAGCGGTTCGGCGCGAAAAGGATTCTTTATTGAAAACAAAACCATACATCGAATACTTACTTGTGAGGTTTCTGAACTTCGATATTTTAATGCCTGGCAACCCCGCATCCCTGCCAAGTCAACTTGTGGTGGATATGCTGTGGAACTGGTACTTGGGAGCACTCTGGTGAATGTGCTGGTGTAAAGGCTACGCTGGGCTACTCGGGGCCACTCTGGTGGATGTGCTGTGTAAGGGCTACTCTGGGCCACTGTGGGCCACTCTGGTGGATGTGCTGTGTTCTTTGGGTTGCTCTGAGCTACGCTGGGACCACTCTGGTGGATGTGCAGAAGTAGCGAGTCTACTGAAGTCCAAAGTTCTTAAAATCTAACAGCCCCACAGTCCTACGGGTGGGGAAAAAACTGCTTTGATAAGTACATTACAAGTCTACAACTATCCTGCGATCTCTTTGGTAAATGTGCTGTGGAGAAGCTAAGTTGCGCTACTAAAAACTGTGGTTGCTGTGGACAAGCTAAGTTGAACTACTTAGAAAGCAGTTTGTGAATGTGCTGTGGAAGAGCTAGGCAGCTAGGTTTAGCTACTCAGGGATCAGTTTGGTGAATGTGGTGTGAATACTCAGAGGTCATTTTGGTGAATGTGCTGTGGAAGTGCTACGTTGAATTACTCAGGGATTACTTTGGTGAACATGGCGAGCGTGCTGTGAAAGAGCCACTTTGGGCTACTCAGAGATCACCTTGGTGAACGTGCTGTGGAAAAGCTAGCTTGAAAACTCAGGGATCACTCTGGGGAACGTGCTGTGGAAGAGCTACTTTGGGCTACTCCGGGATCTCTTTGGTGAACATGCTGTGGAAGTGCTGCGTTGAACTACTCAGGGATCACTTTGGTGAGTGTGCTATGGAAGAACTGCTTTGGGCTACTCAGGGATTACTTTGGCGAGTGTGGTGTGGAAGAGCTA